ACAGGACATCGAAGCAGGCCCCACTGGAGAGAGTCATGATGAGGCTACCGGTAGAAAGAGTAAGAGAGGGACTGTAAGATGATAGCACCAGCATTAGAAAAAGAGAGGATTGTGGGAGAGTGGAACAATCCACTGCAGAGAGCCGGCGATGGAAGCGATGACAGAACGCAGGTAAGAGGTGCGGTGAAAAGCCGCAACAAACTGAGAAGCAGACTCAGGAGCGATGAAAAGATGTGCGGTAAGAGGTGCGGAGCGTACAGAGCCGGAACAAACTGCGAGGCAGAATCAGTTACCGGACGCATGATGCAGGTGAGAGGTGAGGAGAGATAGCAAGGAGAGGGTAAATCGATCGGAGCTGAAGAAACTGAGTGTGCCAGGAGCCAGCAAGATAGTGGAATCGAAACAGAGAGACGGAAGCCTGGCAGAGACTAGGAGCAGAGGCAGACTGGAGAAAGCAAGGTGAAACAGAGTCTGTACGGAAGCGAGATGGTTCGTGGTGAGAGAGAGGAGCTGAGCTAGGAATGAGAGGAAGAGCTCAGGGAAGGCTGAAAAAGTGTGGCGGTCCAACACAAACCTCCATGGACGCGGCAGCGGCAGATGGAAGCAGCAAATGACAGAGAGAAGCACACGGGCGGGCGTAGACACATGCAACACCGACAACCACCATCAATCACCCCTCCCAGATGCTGCAGTCGCTCCCACCAGCCTTCACCAAATTCATTGTGAGCCAGAGCCAGCCCCTTTTGAGGCCTCAGAAGCAGCCTCCAACTCAACAGAGCATACCTACCGAGCAGCACCGAGCAGACCGAGCAGCATTGTAACAGACGACTTTTGAGAACAGCCCACAGTCTCTAACAGGGTGTCACGCACAGCTGCAGCTACTGTGCGCCATAGTATCCTGCATACACCACCCCCTGCTGCTGCTGCCCTGCCCCCTGCTGCTGCTGCTGCTGCTGCTGCTGCTGCTGCTGCTGCTGCTGCTGCTGCTGCTGCTGCTGCTGCTGCTGCTGCTGCTGTTGCTGGGCCTGCAGCTGCGGTGTTACCTGGTAACCAGGCCTTCCCGCAGCTCCTCCTGCTGCTGCTGCGCCAGGCTGCGCGGAAGCTTCCCCAGCGCCGCCTTTCCCTCCCTGCTGCTGCCCCTGTAGCTGCGCCTGCCCCTGCATCTGCCCCTGCATCTGCCCCTGCATCTGCCCCTGCGCCTGCCCCTGCGCCTGCATCTGCCCTTGCGCCTGTGCCTGCAGTGGGTAGTAAACCCCCCCTTGCGGCGCACCCCCCGCTTGCACGTATCCCCCCAGCGCGGGCACTGCCCCCTGGGGCGCATAGTAGCCCTGCGCGGGCGCCGCTTGCGCGGGGTAACCCTGGGGGGCGGGCGCAGCAGGCGCAGGCTGCATTTGCGCCGCTTGGGGGGCGGCGGGGGTGGCTGCGAGGGCTGGGGCGACAACAGCAGGGGTTACGTACACAGGCTGCTGCTGGTAACCAGCTGCGACCTGCTGGTAACCACCTGCGGGCTGCTGGTAACCAGCCGCGGCCTGTTGTTGGAAACCAGCTGCGGCCTGCTGCTGGTAGGCGGCGGCGGCGGGCGCTTGCTGGTAGTACTGCGCTTGCAGCGCAACTTGCCCCTGCGCCTGTGCCTGCGCTTGCGCCTGCGCCTGCGCTTGCGCCTGTGCCTGTGCCTGTGCCTGTTGCGCGTACACGTCCGCCACCTGATACACCTGCTGCTGCTGCTGCGGAACCGCCTGGAACTGCTGCGCCTGCGCCTGCTGCGCGTACGCGGCGGCGTAAGCGGCGGCTTGCGCGTCCCCCCCATAGAACACCATCTGCGGATACCCCTGCTGCTGCTCCGCCTCCGATACTACCCCCGGTAGCATCATTAGCCCCGGCTGCTGCTGCTGCTGCTGTTGCTGCTGCTTGCCTCTGTTTTCCCCAGCGAGCTTGCAAAACACCTGATGCCCGTGAATGATCTTATTCGGCTCCTGCAGAACATTCTGCGCACCTTCCGCGGTCTTAAAAACGAAGATCGCGTACCCGCGGCTCTTCCTGGTGCTCTTATCGAATCCGATCGGCCCCTCCTCGATATCCCCGTACTGCGAGAAGAACGACAGCAGCTGCTCTGACGACAGCTCCACGTGAACGTTCCCGACGAAGATCTTCCGCGCCGCCACGTGCTCGCCGAGCCGCCGCCCGGGCCGAGCGTCGCCAGCTGGCAGACGACCATTCGTCCGTCGACGAGCTTGGAGGGCTCCTCCAAGGCGCGAATGGCGCCGCGCAGCGAGCGGTAGGTGACGAAGCCGAAGCCGCGCGAGCGACCCGTCCCTTTCTCCTTGATGATCTGCGCACCGAGGAACGGCAGGGAAGACGGGGAGACGGGGAGACGGGATAAACGAGGGAAAAGAAGCGAGACTTGAGACGCATCGTGTGCGACAGCGTACTCTCAGCAACCCGCCACCCTGAAAACCAGTTCTGCTCAGATCAACACTGCCGCTCTCTTGAAGCTTGATCCTGGCTTCTCACTTGCCGATCTCCTGCCATGAAGGTCTCAAACTGTCCATGATCCGCGCAGAAACCCTACCCTCTCAAAGCCTCCACTCCCAATTCTCCCAATTCTCCCCATCGACACCATCTTTCCTCTCCTCCCCTTCACCCGGTCCCCCCATCCTTCTCAAACCCTCCCTCCCCCCACCCAAATATCCTCATCCTCCCCACCTGAAGGTCCTCCACGTCGCCGAAGGACACGAAGATTCGGCGAAGCGTCTCGTTGGTGGTGTTGAAGTCGAGCCCGCGCACGAAGATTCGCCGCTGCTGCGAGTCGCGACCCACGATCTCCATGATCGCGTCGGCGACGGCGCTGTGCGACATCGCCGCGCTCACGAGCGCTTCGCGAACGTCGCCGTCCTTCATGACGTCGACCAGCATGCGCGCCTGGTGCGCCGTGAGCGCCGCGGGCGGGTCCTCGAATCTGGTGTGCTGACGACCGGAGCCTGACGCACCGTTGGCGTCCTTTCCTTCCGCTTTGCGCTTCTTCGAGTCCTCCATCGCCATTGCCGACAAACCCGCTTCTGAACGACGCGTTGAGCTTAAAACTAACCGGCTATCGACTATCTAGCGATTCCGATTCCAAACTGGCTAAAGAAAGGCGATCTACGGGTATACCCAGCTGTTTTGGGCATTGATAGCAGGAAGATGAGAATATCAAAACCTTTTCAGATCTAGATAGTTTCTTGCAGAGAGCGTGTTCTGGGACATCAAGGGCGCGGTACAAGCGCTGCTTCAACACTGTTATAAGCACGTCACTCCATAACTACAGTGTATGCCACTTGGAAAACTGGAGGATGTAAGGAATTGGTTAAAAACTGAAATGCTTTCAGTATGCGAAACCGATGCGGCGGCGTACATCACCGTGCCAAACCGATGTAATTTCTATATGCATGTGCAAAACTCGCACAGCAGACGACCTAGGGGTTCGTGGTTGAAGGGGAGGAACTCGAGGATGTTTGCCTCGAATGGTGTGAGCTGTTTCTGGATCAATTTCATGGGGTTTGTGGTTTTCATCGCGGTTCAAAGCGGTAACTTGAAAAACACAAGTGGGGGGTTGGAATTTGACTGTCATAGCGTCACGCGGCAATCTCCAACGGTCATCTTTTTTCTCCTCCCTCCCCCCCCACACGGTCATGGTTGTCCCTTGGCTCGCTCGCCAGCACGGAGTTCCTTGATTCTGTAGCATTTACGACTGAAAGAGGAACAATCGTTGGATGTGAATCTGTCAGCCATTCGCTGTTATGTTACGGCTGCTCGCTGGTGCTTCCGTTGGAGCGTTTCAGTAGCTAACCGGTCGACTCGAACCTGTCAAATCATCTCTCGAAAACGTTTGTGAACCTAACGAGCGCTCGTACCACTCCATCTTCCAAGATTGATAAGGTTCGTCGAAGACGTTGTGGTTACTCCTAAAAAATCGTGCAGCGATGGCTTGAATCTTGATTGTGCAGCAATGTAAACAACGATTACCAACAATTTCCTTCAACCCTAATCACTGGCAACGTGTGTCTTGTCATGAATCGATCATGATCATCAGCAATGTCAGTCACCAGCAGCACCAATGTCAATCTTGAACACCAGCAATGTCTAGAATGGTTAAGATTCACTACCAATTATCATGATCATGCAGCAATGTGAGCATGATGCTCAGCGATTCCTATTATCATTTCCAGCAACGTCTAGCAAGACCATCAGCAGTACCAAGCTGGATCATTAGAAATGTGTTGGATCGTGTTCAGGCAGCAGCTGCCTCCAGACTCAGCATGCAGCGATTCTGATCTCAAACCTCATTCATGATCATGAATGGTTTAGGGCTCGAGCTCTCACATTTTGCATGTCGCGTTGATAATACATCGCTAACGTTGGACTTGCTTGTCTCTCCCTCGCTCTGCTACATGGTCCCTTGCAGCTACAGCAAAACAAAGTCACTGACTTTATCAACATCTCCACCGACTGTGATCATCTTGTGCATTTCAAGGAGATCGCTGATCTGGTGCGCTCTTTGTGCATTTCATCTACATTTGTTTCTGCATCCAGGACAAGTGCTGTTGAAGTAGAGATGTCTAACGTTGTATGAAAGTTGTGTCACTTGTTGATTCAGGAGATGGATACGATCGAGACTGTGCCAGGATCAGAAATTGCTACACTGCGTACGACCTACCACAAAGACACGACCAATCTTGATGTCGATAATGATGACAGCTTCTTTGAGGAGATCATTATACTGTTGAAGAACAAGGGGATCGATCTCACCAATGAATTTTTCTACGTCCCTCAGGTGTGGTGTTTCTGTAGTAGATTCGTGTCTTATTGGCTGATAACAATAACTTGAACGTATTTCAAGTTGGAAATTACAACTGGCTTTTAACAACTGTTGAGGATTTCAGGGGGAGTTGCAGCGGGTTGCAACAATGACACCAAAGGCTCAGCGGCCTCATGAGGAGGGTCTGTTGGAGTACCTTGAGAAGGCTGTTGGAACGAACAAGTTTATCGAGCAGATCAAGGAAACAGCCCAACGGTAATGTATTCCGCATATGCATGCACGGATGGTGCAAGATTCGCAGTCGTTATTCATCATTTGATCGTGCTGCGTTTGTTTTTAGAGTAAGTACCACTAGCCCGCAGAAATGAATCACCCCGGATCCTATCATCATCAGGTTCTCCCTGCGGCTAAACGCCTCTGGTCCTTATTGCTCTAGCTCCCAGAGCACTTGACTTAGACTCGTACTGCTGAGTGCTGTCGTCCAAGTGATAAATTGGAACAAAATAGCTTAATAAAAGGCTGGGTGCTTGATTGCGTTGTGCCTATTCGCTCAACTGACCCGCTTGTCTGCCGTAATCCTTGTTTGCCTGCCGCCTTGTCTTCTTGCCTCCTCGTCTGCTTGCTTCTCTGCTTGTCTGGTGTGTGCAGGCTGGAGGACCTGAATGAGAGACGGGTGGGGTTTATAGACCAAATGCGGTTAGCGGAGAGAGAAAAGGACCAACTGGAGGTGAGTGCATAGATAGAGCAAGCATTAGAGGGTACTCATAGAGATTGAAAAAGGAGCATGGCAGGTATGTAACTGATGTCTCAAGTCCTTCCTGTCGCAAGCCCCTCAACCTATTCTCCATACTGTTCCTAGCCAAAGCACTTGGCTTGAGTACCATCTGCTCCAGGAGCCAAAGAGAGCGCTTGTACAAGGATGGTCAAAGCTCCATACTTTGCAGACCAGTGCTTTCTACTCGCCGTAGAGCAATGTTGGTGCTGGGATGCAACATGCTCTTGTGGTCCCTAAAAAGATTACAAAGACCATCTCGTTCATTCCCACAGGATCGTCTTGTTGCTCGTGTCACTCACTCTCCCTTTCCCACTCCGTATGAACACTTCAAGCCATCTCTTTCGTTTCTACATGCAGTGAAGAGAGCAGCGGCTAGTGTTCCCACTGAAGGAGGCGCAGCAAACGCAACTGTGCATGACAGAGGCACACTATCTTTCCTGGCGCTGCACTTCACTCCTCCTCATCTCACCCACTTCCGTCTTCAATTAACCCCGTCGCTTGCATGCCCTTGCCTCCAGGAGCACAAGAAGGCGGCTGAAGCTTTTCTGCTGAAGGAGGCGCAGCACACCCAGCTGAGCATGGCGGCAGTTTATTTGCAGCTGCAGGAGAGTGAGCAAACAATGAAAAGGTCTAGCAGGCTGGCCGCAGACCTTGAAAGGGTGATCGAGGCTGACAGGTGAGGCTGGAACATGTTGTGGGGTAGAAGGATGTTGAGAAGCGTGTTGAGATGTACCTGATGCTCCAGGAGAACGATGGCTTAAAGAGAGAGGACAACAGCAAGATCACAGAATTGAACGTGTGCCGAGACAGGGAGCTGGAGTTGTGAGGAGGATTGGGTTGGGTGGGCCGTATATCTGGAGAGGGGGTTGAGGTGGACAGGTTGAGACTGGGAGCTGGTGTGGGGTAGAGGATTAGTGGGACGATTGGTGAGAAGGGGGTATGTTGCAGGAATGTGACCACCTGAAGAGGGAGGCCAGCAGGAAGATTGCAAAACTCTATGTGGTGCTTGCGGCAGAGAGGTGAGCCAAGGAGCTTGAGTTCTGAGGAGGATCGGATGGGAGAGCTTGAAGGCGGGACGAGAGGAACCGGCAGGGCTGGTGGGAAGGCGTGGAGCGAGAGCAGGGTCAGGTAATTGGAAATGGAGGTGAGATACGTAGGTTGTGGTGGATGGAGGTTTTAAAGTGCTGAGAGGGTGCAGGAGGGAAGGCTTGAGTGAAAGGGCATCTTGGTATGCCTTTGACGTGGTGCGAACGCTGGCGCTTCATCAAGGGGGGGACTTCAAGGCAGGTGACTTTGAAATAGGGAAGCAGAGCACTTAGAAATGTCATAGCTTCGGTACTTGTCCCGTCTTGATCCAGTACTGGTTGAAAAAGGTGAGTCATGGAACGAGGCCGTATTCAACATGAGAGTCTCAGCCTGCTGACTTAGCACCGTTGGACGCAGGAAAACCGTTTCCATGCTTTCGGAAGAGAAGGAGTGCAAAGAACCCGAGTATGATAAATGCGCAGAGGAGTATAAAGTGAGTCTGGGGGGCAGTGAGTAAAAAGGGAGTGGAAAGTTGGCCAAGAAAGTTGGGTGAAAGTTTGTCTGGCTTTGTCCTTGAGATTTCCCCTTGTGTGTGCTCCTAATGTTGCAAGCTTTCTTGACAGGCGGTCATTGCAGAGCTGAAGGCTGCCAATGCAGAGCACAACGCACTGGCGAAGAAGTTGCCTGCCTGCAAGACAGGCAAGGTGGGTCACTGAACGATGGGGATGAACGGTATGAGTGGGATGGAAAAGTCCGGATGCTCCGCATCTTGCGGGTAAGAGTAGATGCGCCAGTACGAGTTTTAGACGAGAGGATAAATCTGTAGAATATGTGCTGTGTGGTACTGAGATGACCTGTCCGTAACATATCCACACACCAGTCGCTTCCTCACCACCTACTCACAGAATCACCACTACCTTTTTGTCCTCATTGCATCTGCAGGAGAACCAAAAACCTAAGCAAGTCAAGACCCCGAGCCACCTGATAGGGAGCACTAGCTGCAGAGGCACGAGCAGCAAAGCCACGAGCAGCAGAGGCATGAGTAGCAGAGGCAAGGACAGGAAGGGAAGCAGCATGGAGGACAAAAATATTTTTCTGCAGATGCAAATAGTGGATGAGAAGCGCAATAAGTTGATACAGGTGCGTTTGTTGAGGGGGGGTTGTGAACAGCTGTAAGGTGGCTTACAGCAGTGGAAAATCAGGAGTCATTGCTCTGAGGGTTACTCGAGAGAGGCCTTGAAGTGTTACCATGCAAGCTCAAACTCTTACCCTTTCCCTCCTTACCACTTTTCCATCCCTGCCACCCTCCCTGCATGCTATGTCGTCTTGCGTTTATCCCTGCTATGTTAGAATCACCGCCTTATCCAACTCCTTGCACCCCCCTCCCCTGGTTACGCCTGTACTGGCAGGCAGTGCAGTACAGGCAGGAAGAGTGGCTCCTCAAGGCAAGGAAAATGACTATGAGGTTACCGCTTTATCCTGCTCCTGCATCCACCTCCCCTGGTTGCACCTGTGCTGGCAGCTAATGAAACGCAAGGAGGACGAGTACGATGACAGGAGGAGAGAGATGGCTGCAGTTCATAGCCAGTCCGAGGAAACCTTATTGCGAGCGGTGAGATGGGGCAGGGCAGGTGAGGTGGGCGCAGGGTAGGTGAGTTGGGCGTAGGGGAGAAGGGAAGATTTTCCAGGTGAGGGCCATGCCATGAAGAAGGATCTGGGTAAGTGCTTGAATTTGTTCAGGGCCGAATGTATATCTTATACGTGCAATGGGCTCTGCTTCCTTTCCTGCCATTCACACTGGAAGCACACACTCACATTCCGTGCGTCCTCACGCACCTTCTCCAATGAGTTTTCTGTTTCCGTGGTCAAGTGGATGCTCCACGCCCATTTCTTGTTAGTTGGAGGGAGGGGGAAGGCAAGGTTGATAAATTTAAGAATTTGGAACTTTGCGAAAAGGGAATTGGTGTCATGAACTAAGTTCATCTTTCTCTCTTTCCATTCCACTGGAAAATGACATCATCCCTACTCTAACCCTGTATGTATGCCTTACTATGAGTTCCACTTTGCTCATCCTCTTTCTTCACCCACACACCTTCGCGTTCTTCCCTTGGTCTCCAAACGGTCAGATCAAGGCACATTCACAGCTGAAGGAGCACATTCGCCAATATCAAGTGGGTGCGGACCATTCACGCCTGGCAAGGAATGAGCTCAAGTCCCTGGGGAAGCTACTCTCATGCCAGATCTCAAAGTGAGTCCGTAATGCAGCTCTTTGACTTTGCTCGCTACTCTGAGCAGTCCTCTTTCTGCCCTCTGCTCGTTATTCTCAAGCGGTATGCACTGCTACACCCGAGTCTCGAAGAGAGCTCCCTTAGAAACCCTGAAAGCAAAGCGAGTGTGTGTGGGTACGAACAAAGCCGCCCTTCCTCGTCCCTCACAGGGGTTTTTGAGATGTATTTTCTCTTCCCCCCCCTCCCACTTCCCCGCCCTCTCCCCCACTCCCCTCTCCCCCCCCTTTCTTTTTGCAGCATGCTAGAAAAGCGCGTGTCAGACGAGGACATGGAGCAGGCAGGCCTTCCTCACACTCTCAACAAAGCTCTGGGCGAGTGGTTAGAGGCAACATGTGGGGATTCAGTTCTTATTGAACAAGGGGCTGAGGCTGAGGCTGCAGAAGGGTCTGAGGCTGCAGGAGGGTCTGAGGCTGCAGAAGGGTCTGAGGCTGCAGAGGGTGCTGAAACTGTACAGGGGAGTGAGGCTGCGGCGGGGAGTGAGGCTGCTGAGGGGAGTGAGGCTGCAGAGGGTGCTGAAACTGTACAGGGGAGTGAGGCTGCTGAGGGGAGTGAGGCTGCGGCGGGGAGTGAGGCTGCTGAGGGTGCTGAAACTGTACAGGGGAGTGAGGCTGCTGAGGGGAGTGAGGCTGCAGAGGGGAGTGAGGCTGCGGCGGGGAGTGAGGCTGCGGCGGGGAGTGAGGCTGCGGCGGGGAGTGAGGCTGCGGCGGGGAGTGAGGCTGCGGCGGGGAGTGAGGCTGCGGCGGGGAGTGAGGCTGCGGCGCAATGCCAGGTACTGGAGCCTGCAGCAAAGGCATCCGATGAAGCAATGCAGAAACTGGGGAGGCTGCTATCCTGGCTGTGCAGTAACCACATGAGCGCTGGATCCAGCCACAAAGAGGGGCTGACAAAGCATGAGTCCGTGGGAGAAGAGCTCAAGGCGCTCAGGGAAAGGGTTGACATGAGCTGCATTGACGAGTGAGTGAGAGTCCCTTGTGGTGTAAGTTTGCGGGTGGGGTAACTGTCAATGTGAGCGAACGAGTGAGTGTGGGTGTACGATTGTTGTGCTGTGCAAGCAGATGTTTGCATGAGGGGAGGGAGAGAGTGCGAGTGTTGGTAGTTGTAGGCCTCAGTGTGTCCTCTGGATTCAGTGTATTGGGTGTGATGCAGTCTGCTGCCGCATGAGTAACTGCTTCAATTTCAGTCAGGAGGCACTAATTATCAACAATTATCCTGTTTTTCTATTTTTCTGTTCCGTACTTGCTCAGGTACCACAAACAAGATGACGCCTTTTTCGAGGCGTTCTTTGAAGCAACAGAAGTGACACCAGAGAGGGATGCTGTGAAGCAGGAGCACAAGGCCCTGATAAGGCGCCGGCAGGCAGAGTTCACAGCAGGCCTTGATGCAACCAGGAGGGGGGTCAAAGAAATCTACAAGATCGTGGCGCCAGGTGGCGATGCTGACCTGGCACCCGTCGACTCGCTTGACCCGTTCAGCCAGGGAATTTGTTTCTCTGTGCGCCCACCACAGCAGCAATGCTGGAGGAACGTTGCCGACCTCAAAGGGGGAGAGCAGGTGAGAGCCGCCTTTGGCCCATGTCTCTGCCAGACCATCTCTTTCCACCCACAGTGGAGTGTGAATGTCACTGCTGCTCCTGCGCCTGTTAGTGGCTCTGTGCTGCGCTGGTCATCCTACGAGGGCGAACTATAAACCACTGAAAACCTGTGCTCTGGCCTTTGCTCTCATGTCTCAATGCTACAATTTGGCACTTGCTGTAGCACAGTTTTTTTCTCTTTCTTCCTTTTTTTTCTTCCCCCTCTCCCCCCCCTCCCCCCTTATTTTCCCAACGAACCATCATTCTTCATTCATTGTCCTTCACATCACATTTCTCACATCACGTCACGTCACATCACATCCCATCACACCACATAACGTATCATCACTCCACCACAGGCACTCAGCTCCTTGGCGTTACTGTTGGCGGTCCACCTATGCAAGCCAGGCTCGCCACTAATCACCATTCAACCGGATGCTGCCATGGGTACGTTCTTAAAACCCTTATCTACAATGTTTAGGCGTTTGTAGGTGTGGACGGTCCTGGTACTAGTGCCTGTTACTGCATGCATGATTGGCGTTGTAGACCGGCAGGGTCTTTTGTAGATTCTGCATATCTAATAAAATTGTAACGCTCCACATTTTGCATCTCAATCTCTCCCAAACCATGTTCCTAGCAGACTTGAAGAACACAGTCCATTCTGGCTGACCACATGGAGCGGTATGCCACTCAGCACAGGAGCACATGCGCGACCTAGCTTGATCCCTAACCTTGTTCCCCCTTATAGCCATTATGGTTGAAAAAGTATCCCTAAGGGCGTATTCCTACGGCCTCCTATCAAGAAACCTCCTATCAAGATTGTACCTTTTGCCTGGTAAAAGTAGCGAGAGATTTTGGGTTTAGGGAATTTTCCAGTGAGAGCTTGATAGGAGGTTTTCTTGATAGGAGGATAGGAATACGCCCTAACACAGAGCAGCATGACACAAGTATGTTCCTGGCTGAGTAGATGAAGCAGCAGGACAGTAAGTGCGCTAGGGGGTTATACGGTATACAGGAGAATTCATTCTCCAGGCACCTCAAAAACAGCGAGTGCATTAGGGGTTATATACAGGCGAAAACATTTTTGAGGCACGTCAAACACAGCCAAAGAAAAAAACCTCGAACTTGGGAATGGGATACACATCCATAGCGTATTTGTCAATTCGGTCATCGTTTTCCAGATCATGATTCAGAAGCACCAGCTCTCAAATATACATCCGGCCTTCAACAAATCTCATTTTTCATGTACCACAAAGAAATGTTGTTCTCAGCATTTCCGTTCTACGTATTATTTCAACAGTTCTCATACTGTACCAGTCATGTGGTTCCCGTTACTGTAGCACCGATTTTCTCGGCCCGCATTCGCCCGTGATTCTCATTCACTGTTCTCCCCTCACCTTCCCCCTCGCTCTCTTGCTCTGCACTTTTTCGGAAACCCTAGAAAGAGCTTTTCTCAGCTTTTCCTGTCCCGACTTCCGCATCGTCTACTGCTTTGGCTTTGTTATTCTCTTGGCTAGTTGGCGATGGCATCGTAGTTGCGAGGTTCCTAATGGGGAAAGTTTCTTAGTCCACTAGGTTTCCTTCAGTCCTTAATTGTTAGTCCTGTATATTATTTGGATGAGTTTTAGCGAATTCGGACCTTTTTCCTTTCGTCTTTTCGTCTGACGTAGTTTAGGTGTTTATAATGGATCGCACTACTCACGAGCCGTGTTGCTCCCATTTACAGGCAAGTACTTTTTCTGCTCATTCCTGTGTGATAAATTAAGTCACTCCCCCGTTCTTTCTAGGCTTAGTTAAGGTTGATTAAGGTCAAAGCATCTCTATTTTGATTGAAGTTTCTTATCTCTTGGCAAATGCCTCAACTGTGCAAGACTTCCTTTTTCCTTTTTAACATTTCCGTCCTTGTTATTTACACCCACGTCGTGCTTTTTCCATTGCTTCAGGAAGTGGAAAGCCTTCGTCAATTGCTGAAATGCGCGACGGAAGAGCTGCAATCCGCGAGAACCGCTGCCGCGGCACAGGGACAGCTGCACGAGGCGCGGGTTCGATACCTGGAGGAGCAATTAAACGTGGTGAAGCGGGAAAGGGACGAGCTGAAAGAGCAACTAGACAGCGCGGAGCAGAAGCACAAGCAGGAGCTTGACCAAGCCCGATCGGACTCTCACGCCTTAATCCGACCGTCCATTACAGGCACGGTTACCGAGCCTGTGGACATGGCTCGGGTTGCCGAGCCTGTGGTCTTGGCTCGGGTGGAGAAAGTATCCATGACTCGGGTTGAATCCGTGAGCATGCAGACTGCTCCCAGTGCGTTGACACCTGGCTCTAGCATTCAGCAGTTCCAGCAGGGTGACACGTGGCAAATGTCCCCTCAGACGACCACTGTGTATCATCACGAGCAGCACCACCAGCAGCATCAGGCGCCGACGCCGTCGCTCCAGCAGCAGCAGCAGGTGCAGCAAGTGCAGCAGGTGCAGCAGCAGGTGTTTCATCAGGTGCGGGTGGAGAGCCAGCAGACGACGGAGCAGCACCAAATAAGGACGTCTTTAGGAGCGTCTAGTGTTCCGATGCTTCCTGCTCCTCCGCAGGCCGTAGCAGCGTCTGGGTCAGCATCAGCTCCTGTGATCGTGGAACTCCCGCCCGAGCCTGTGGTTAGTCAGTCGCAGGCGCAGGCGTCGCAGGCGACTCAGGCGACGGCTCGTGCGACAGGCCAGCAGTCGCAGCAGCCGCTGCCGTCGTCGTCTGCTGTCGCGCAGGTGCAGTCGTCAGGGCCGTCGCATCAGGCGTCGCAGCTATCGCAGGAGCAGCTGCTGGCGATGGAGATTCAGCAGAGCGAGGAGCAGCTGCGACTGCTGCGACAGAAGCGACAGCAGATCCATGAGGAGGCGATGGGTGTTGATTCGCAGAGCGTGCAGCAGCAGCAGGAAGAGCAGCAGGTGCTAAACCAGCAGCAGATGCTAAGACAGCAGCAGCAGCAGCAGCAGTCGTCACAGCAAACACAGCTGCAGCAGCAAATGCAGCAACTGCAGCAGCAGATGGAAGGGCAGCTGCTGTCTGCACAAACCGCTCCTGCTGCGACTAGCACAGGCGGAGGCACGGGAGCCGCACCTGCTCTCAGCCAGCCTCTAGCCCAATCGTTGCCACCCTTCCAGCATCAGCAGCAGGGGAATCTGCAGACCCTGCAGCCGCCCCTTCCCTCGCATCCCTCCCACGCCTCTCTTCCTGCCGTCCAGTCCACGGCTCCCACCTCCTCCAGTGGCCTGCCTTCTATCCCTGGGGGATTCTCCCAGGGACCTTCCTCGAGTTCTCAACCACAGGCCTCGATGCAATCACAATCGGTACAAGGGCAGAGTATGCAGGGAAGTATGCTTGGACAGGGAATGCTGGGTCAGGGGTTGCAGGGACAGGGCATGCAGGGGCAGGGGTTGCAGGGGCAGCAGCAGCAGCAGCAGCAGCAGCAGCAGCCTGTGGCACAGCAACCCACGGTAACCGGAGGGCAGGTGCTGACGGGTTCAGGTGTAGCAGAGGCACCGCCGCCACCACCATCAGCCGTTGGCGGGGGTTCCGTCCCTGCGTCTCCTGCAGTGCGCACAGCCTCGGGAGGAGGTTCGGTGCAGCGTGCCGGGCCTAGCTCGCTGCTTCGGCAAGGGTCCGGGGTGGGAGGTGCTCCCCAGCTAGTGCAGTCCGTGCCTTCGTCTCCTCAGGTGGGATTCGAAGTAGCTTCTAGCGCGGATAGTTTTCCCACCCAGCAGGGTCAGCTAAGTCAGCAGGTGCAAGGGCAGGGACAGGGACAAGGGCAGGGGGGTCGGATGCCGAGGATGGGTAGCTGGAATGACCTGTCACAGCAGAATGCGGCAGCAGGGGCTGGGGGATTGGCAGGAGGGCCGGGAGTGGTAGGTGGGGCGGATGTGGGAGGTGCAGCTGCCCATGGCAAGACGTCGTCTCTTGCTCCTCGGAAGCTGCTGCAGCAACTGCCGCCCATGCCCCCACAGTCGCTGCAGCAGGCGCAGCTGCAGCAGCAGACGCAGCAACAAACGCAGCAGCAGGCGCAGCAAGCAGCGTTGTCTGGCCAGCAGCAGTCTGTCCCCCCTTCCCCTCTGCTGCATGCCCAAGGGCTCATGCCCTCTCATGCGCTAACGCAGGCACAGGCGCAGGCTCAGGCGCAGGCGCAGGCGCAGGCTCACGCAGAGGCACAGGCGCAAGCGCAGACGCAGGCTCAGGCGCATGCTCAGGTGCATGCTCAGGTGCAGCAGCTCCAGCAGCCGGTTATGCAGCAGCAGCAGCCGCCCCCCTCCCCTGCGCTCCAGGCAGTGGAAGCGTATCAAGTGCAGCAGCAGCAGCAGCAGCAGCAGCAGCAGCAGCAGCAGCAGCAGCAGCAGCAGCAGCAGCAGCAGCAGCAGCAGCAGCAGCAGCAGCAGCAGCAGCAGCAGCAGCAGCAGCAGCAGCAGCAGCAGCAGCAGCTGCTGCAACAACAACAGCAGCAACAGCAGCAACCTCCGCCGCAGCAGCAGCCTCTGCAGCAGCCGCCGCCGCAGCAGCAGCAACCTGTAGCGGCCTCACCACTCCAACAGCCGAGGCAGCGTCCTCCCCCTTCCCCCATGCAGCAACCACAGCAGGCGCAGCCACAACCACAACAGCTGCTGCTGCAGCAGCAGCAGGTGCTGATGCAGCAGAAGCTTCTGCAACTGCAGCAGCAGCAGGAGCAGCAGCAGATGCATCACCAGCAGCAGCAGCAACAGTTGGAGCAGCAACAGCAGCTTGAGCAGCAGCAATTGCAACAGCAGCAGCAACGGCAGCAGCAGCAAGCCGGGCAGCCAAACGGGCAGTCCCAGGTGCAGCCACAGGTGCAATCGCAGCTGCAACTGCCAGTCAGTTCCTCGCTTCCCCCTCTCCCTCCTCAACCACAGCAGCAGCAGCAACAACAGCAACAGCAACATCAGCAACAGCAGCAGCAACAGCAACAGCAGCAGCAGCACCAACAGCAGCAACAACAGCAACAGCAGCAGCAGCAACAGCAACAGCAGCAGCAGCAACAGCAGCAGCAACAGCAACAGCAGCAGCACCAACAGCAGCAACAACAGCAACAGCAGCAGCAGCAACAGCAACAACAGCAGCAGCAGGCATACCAACAGCAGACTCACTCCCAGAGCCACTCCCTTACCCCTCAGCAACCACCCTTCGACACAGACGTGAGCCAACCCACGCCCATGGACGTTTTCCCGCCTGTAGCACCAGCTGTAGCACCTGCTGTAGCACCTGCTGTAGCAGCGGCTGTAGCAGCTGCTGTATCAACTCCTTCACCAGACGAAGGCCCGCTGCTAGGCGCCATTCCCCGCCGCATACTGCCCGCTGTAGCTGCAGCGTCAGGGGACGGCGGGGGGGGCTGCGCCAGTGGCACGGGGTCCTACTCCGCCTGTGATTTCCGCAGCTCTGTTCCGCCTCAGGTGCTCTCCTCCCCCCACGTGGTACCTTCCGTGCCCAGCTCGCCCCAACGCCCTGCTTCGCTTGCTGCTGGCGCTGCTGCGGCTGCGGCACCGGCTGTAGCAGCTGCTTCAGCTGCAGTAGCCGCGTCAGCAGCAGCCGCAGCAGCAGCTGCAGCTGGTGACATGGATAGATGCATACTCATGCCGGGCTCATCTGCAGGGGTGATAGTTGGCCTGAGTGGGCTCGAAGGCACGCCTCCTCGTGTGGAAATGGTAGAGCCGTTGGCGCTGAGGATGATTCGAGAGGCGGGTGGGCGGATGCCGAGCCCTCTGAGGGAGAGCAGGGAGGGCAGGGAGGGCAGGGTGGAAGGGCTTGTGTGCCTGGCTCCTGCTTCTAGCTTTGTGGAAGATTCAGCAGATTCTTGCATCCTGCAGCAGCAGCAGCAGCAGCAGCAGCAGCAGCAGCAGCAGCAGCAGCAGCAGCAGCAGCAGCAGCAGCAGCAGCAGCAGCAGCAGCAGCAGCAGCAGCCGGTTCAGCAGCAACAGCAGCAATCACTCCCACAGCAGCAAACCCAGCAGCAGCAGCTACAGCACCAGCAACAGCAACAGCAGCACCAGCAGCAGCAACAGCAGCAGCAGCAGCAGCAATTTCAGCAACAGCAACCACAGCAGCAGCCGTTGCACTCACTCCCCATTCCAACACCCCAAATGGTCCTCTCCACCTACCCCACCACCGAAGACGTGGTTCTTGAAAGAACATCCCCGTTACTAGCCCCTCCAATACAACTACAATCCGAGCCAGCTTCCGCCCTCTCCAAAGCACCCCCCTTGCAATCCCTCGGGGACCGCCGCTCCCCGTTACCCCCAGGTCACTCCCCCTTGCCTCCCGGCCACTCCCCCCTCCTAGTCACAAGAACTCCCGGCTCGGAACCCGCCCCGTTAGACCTTGATAACTGTGGCGGGGGTATGCCGCTGGTGGGGATGCAGTGTGAGGGACTGCCGGTGGGGATGCAGCAGCAGCTGCAGCAGGCGCAGGTGCAGAGCCTGCTGAAGCTGCATATGCAGGCTGCTGAGTCGATCGGGCAGGTGCAGATGGGTGGAGAGAGAGGTGGGGTGGTGGAGAGGAGTGGGGTGGGGCAGAGAGGGGCAGGTGAGGGGCGGGGCGGGGGTGGTATGCAGCAGCAGATGCAGGGCCAACAGCAGCAGCCGCAGCAGCAACAGCAGCAGCAGCAGATGCAGCAACAACAACAGCAGCAGCAGCAGCAGCAGCAGCAGCAGCAGCAGCAGCAGCAGCAGCAGCAGCAGCAGCAGCAGCAGCAGCAGCAGCAGCAGCAGCAGCAGCAGCAGCAGCAGCAGCAGCAGCAGCAGCAGCAGATGCAACAGCAGCTATTTCAGAAAGGGGAAGGTTCACCTAGCACATTATCCAAGGGCGTTCTGGGGGGGGTAGATGTGGTGAAGGTGGAAATGGTGGAGATTCAGGACTTGGCCCTGATTCCCCCAATTGTTGATCCCCAGCAACAGCAGCAGCAGCAGCAACAGCAGCAGCAGGAACAGCAACAGCAACAACTGCTACAGCAGCAGCAATATCAACAACAGCTGCTGCAGCAGCAGATGTCTATATCACAGCAGCAGCACCTACAGCAGTTGCAAGCACAGGTGCAGCAGCAGGAAAGGCAGAAACTGACAGAACAGCAGCAGCAACAGCAACAGCAGCAACAGAAGCAACAGCAACAGCAGCAGCAGAAGCAGCAGCAGCAGCAGCAACAACAGCAGCAGCAGCAGCAACAGCAGCAGCAGCAGCAGCAACAACAACAACAACAACAACAACAACAACAGCAGCAGCAGCAACAACAGCAGCTGCAGCAACAACAACAGCAGCAGCAACAGCAGCAGCAATTACAGCAGCAGCTGCAGCAGCAACATCAGCAGCAACAGCAGCAGCAACAGCAGCAGCAGCAGCAGCAGCAGCACCTTGGAGACACAGTGCAGAGGCAGGGAGAACGGCAAGGGCAGTGGGCAGTAGCAGAGGTGAAGGCTGAAGAGTATGGTCTCTTTGATGCTACTCACAGGGCACACGGGGGTGCAAACGGGCATGTGAGCGGTCACGGGGCGGGGCTAGGTGGTGGTGGTGGTATAGGGAGTCACGAGGAGGAGGACGAGGAGGAAATGGATGAGATGGATGATGAGGGCGATGAGGAGGAGGAGGAGCACCTTCAGCTGCACCATCAGGGTCAGCTGCCCCAATCTCACCCGCACCACCGCTCGTACCCGCCGCACCTGCTTCTGCACCCGTCACACCCTGCCCACCCATTCCAGCAGATGCAGCACCTGCCTCCCAACTTTCCCTATTTCCACCACCCGAGGAATGGGGTCACAGGGCATGCCATGGGCCTGTCTTCTGTCTCCTCTCTCGCCTCCTCCTCCATCCCAGCTGGTTCATCTGCTGCAACTGCTGCCGCCGCTGCTGCTGCGGTTGCTGCTGCTAGTGCTGCTGCAGCTGCGGGTGGTTTGTCTGGTGCTGCCCCTCTTGCTGCTACTGCACCCCCGTCTGCTGCTGCTGATGCTGCCACTGCTGGCGCTGGCGCTTCCAGTGCTGCTGCTGCTGGTGCTGCCGGTGCAGCTGCCCCACCCAGGTGGAACCCTTCTCTTCCCCCCCACGCCCAATCCGTCCCTTCCCTGCTCCCACCCGCCCCACCCACCTCTGCTTCCACTCCAGCTGCCAACGGCCCTCCCCCCCCACAGCCCCTACCTGCTCTCAGCAACCTCCCTCGCATCACAGGAGTTCCTGCTGCTGCCACCGCGCCCATCCCCCCCGCACCCATCCCAACCACTCTCAACCCCATGCTGCTCCCGCCGTCACTACCAACCCTCGATCCAGCAGTCCTAGCCTCGGTTCTAGACTCGGACGCGCGTCAGAGGCACCTTCCCGAGCCTCCAGACACGGACATGCAGGCAATGTTAAAAGCTTTACCAGAGCAGGGGCAGCTGGTGAAGGCTGTCTTAGAAGCAGGGCCGCTGCTGCAGCAGCTTCTGGCAGCTGCTCCTATCCCCCCCTGGAGACCCTCCCTGCAACCTGCTGATCACCCTGCTTCCGCTGCTGCTGCTGTGACGGCGGCAGCGGCGGCGGCGGCTGCGGCTGCGGCTGCTACTGGTGCTGATCCGGCTGCGCTGTTTGTGAGACAGCAGGAGGCGCGAGGGGAGAGGGAGCAGCAGGAACAGATGCAGGGGTTGGGGCAGCAGCACCACAGCCAGCATCACCAGCACCAGCAGCAGCAGCAATCGGCAGCAGGAGCAGGACAAGGAGGGCAGCAGGGGCAGGCAGGTGGGGGAGCGTCCCAGCCAACGTCGGAACAGCTTCCCATACCGGCTGGTGGTCTCCCTCCTTCCATGGCTCCTCTGCCACGTGTCAGGCTCCCATTCGCTCCCACCAGCGCGGCGGCAGCAGCAGCAGCAGCAGCGCTCGGCGTGGGTCCCTCTTCGATCCCTCTCCCTCACCTGACAGCAGCAGCAGCAGCAGCATCAGCCCGACCCCCTGCCTTGCCTGTTCCCGTGCCTGGCTCATTTGCCCCGGCTGGTACCAGTGGTGCTGCAGCAGCAGCGGCGGTGGCGGCGGCAGGGGCGGTGGGAGCAGCAGCACACCCGCTCTTCCAGTCGTACGGCCCTCCCATTCTCGCCAACGGGCACCTGCCCCAGTCATCCTCGTCGTCAGCTCGAATGAAAGGAGATACCTCAGGGTTGCTGTGACTGGCGCCGGCATAGCACAGCAGCAACGGGCCTAAAATGGGTGGAAGACGCAACTAGGCATAGTACCAGCATAGAACAGCACCTCTGAGTCGAGTCAAAAGTCATCACAGCACGTCCTGGCTACGTGGTTCTAGCCCATCGCAGCAGCTGCCCCCAGAAGCTGACGGAATGTGCTATCAGTCCACTGTTTAGCAGTCATAGCTCGTCATTGCTTATCAGTCCACTCAGCCAAATGCAAAAGCCCATAGTATATTAGTCTTAGTAACACACACATGGGTCTTTTATAATCAGAACTCCCATTTATAAGAATCTACCCTAGTTAAAGACACCCGTCTTGAATTCGACACTATCTTCAATCGGGCTATTGTCGTGTCGGGTATTCGTATGTGCTACGTGGAAAAACACACTCTATGTGCAGCCCAGGCATTCTGTTGATGCCATGAGGAATTACTGAGTCATCAGGGCCTATCACATGAGAACACCCCTGCACATTCAGATACTGCAGCATTTTCAGCTCCGTCAGATCCTCTGGCAAAGCTTGCAATTTCAAACAGCCTGACAGATAGAGGCTCTTAAGACCGATAAGTCGCGCAAAGTTGGGAGGAAGGAAGCGAATCCGGCTGATGAAAATTGACAACTCACTCAGGCAGGACAGTTGGGTGAGGGAATCAGGCAGGCAATCCAATTCGCAGCAGTTGGATAAGTGGAGCTTCCGCAGCTTCAATAAGGCCCCGATGCCATGAGGAAGAGAGGAGAGTGCGGAAGCATTCTCAACCTTCAACGATGTCAGATGCTGAAGCTCAGTGATGCTCGCAGGCAGCTCTCTCAACTGATCAGCATCCATGATTTTCAGCATTCGCAGCTGCGGTAGTGCTGAACCCATATCTTCTGGCAGACTCCTGAGATTGTCACAGTCGAGGAGAATCAGCGAGCGTAGGTCGGAGAGGGGTGTCAAGGCAAATGGAAGCTCCTCTGCATTATCTGACAGTGATAACTCAAGATGTCTCAGATGGGATAGACTGCTGCTGAATGTGGGTCCACATTCCACATTCTCCAAACTAAGCTTCCATAGCCTACTCAGTCCAAAGACGTCTGGAAGAAACGTGGTGTGGTCGCTGCTTCCCAGGCTCAGGATCTCAAGCGAAGCTGGCAGAACATCACAAGGCCATCTGTGCCTGTTGCATGACGTTATCCTGAGCCGTTTCAGCCGTGTGAGACTCCCTAGGTTGCTTGGTATGGAAAACAGGTCTATGCAGTCAGCGAGTGTAAGAATCTCTAGGCGTATCAGGGATGTCACAGATTCGGGAATCGCCCTAAGTCCAGGGCAGGACGATATGTGCAGCTCTCGCAAGCTCTGCAGCTGTCCTAGGCCCCCAGGCAGCTCTTCAATATGACAGGAGTCCAGTTCTAGCCGTGTCAGCATAGGAACACCAGTTAACGAGGCTAGGAAAGGTTGCAGGGGGCAGCTTTTCACAAAAAGGGTGTGGAGGTGAGAGAGGCGGTCAATGTCCTCTGGAAGTGCCACGTTCTCTATGCACAGTGTTTTGAGAGCTGTAAGGCAGAAGAACTCTGACGGCAGATGAAGGATCGGTGAGCTCCAATGCAGGAACAGGGTTTCCAGAGATGAGAGCTGGAAGAACGAATCAGGTAGGCCTGCGAGAGCCAGCATTTCTAGCACCAGACTTTTCAGGGAAGACAGACGTCCAAATATGTCGGGCAGGGACGTAAGTCTTGCGCACTTAACGATTGCCAAGCTCTCTAAGTTTCTCAGGGAAGTGATTCCGTCAGGTAGCTGCTCAAGTTTCTCGCAGTTGGAAATCGTCAGCTTACGAAGACGTGGCAGCGATTCGCCAAAATTGTTAGGAAGCTGCTTCAATCCTGGGCAAAGAAAAATCGTCAGCCGTTCAAGATTCGGGCCTGACCAATCAGAAAGTTGCAGGTTGATTAAGTTCACTGACCGTAGAGAAGGTAGCATCCGTTCTATGGCGAATGCAGCAGCAGCAATAGCTCCCGTTTTTTCAAGCGAAACCCCGGCGACTCGGGAAAATGAAAGTCTCGCGAGTCTGGGAAGGCGAGGGAGGTTTGAAATTTGCTGTACGGTAATTATTTTGGAGGAGATATGGAGGAAGGTGAGAGAGCTAAGGTTCTCCAAATCCGGAGATTCTAAAGCTGAGGCGTCTGCTAGATAAAGGGTATGTAGACGAGTTAGCTGGAAAAACGATGGCGGTAGCTGAACGCCTGGATAGAGGCGGGGTAGGGAGAGCCGCTCGAGCTGGGTGCATCGCTGGAAGAAACCATCCCAGCCAGCTTGAGTGATAGGGTGCGACAACTCTTCACCACCAATATATCGCCATGCCATTCGACTGTCTAGGTAAAGCGTGGTCAGCTTAGGGCATAAGGAGGCGAGATGAATGAGGAACGCGTCGTCTACGGTCTCTATGCTGTTCTCTTTCAAATGCAGAAATGTGAGGCTCGGCACGAAAGACAAGCAACGTAAAAGGTCTTGGGAGGATAGCAGGCCGCTCTGAACATAGAGAGCAGAGACGTAACGCGTAGATAGCTCGCGCCAACGACGACACACAGACGCGATGCCTCGAATTTCAGATCCAACATCTGAAGAAGCATTTTCCTCAGGAACAGAATCTCTGTCCAGAAAGCTAGGAGAGATGTACTGTGGAGATGGGTAGACCGAACTCCATAGAGCATCACTTTCTAGATCCCGCGATGTTTCTGTTCCGTCAGAGAGAAACAATATCCTCACGAGAAGGTCGTCAGACAGGTCATTGATATGCGTAGGCGACTGCATATTGAGTAAAGAACGACTAGAATGACTAAGTCGGCTGATCAGATTATGCAGTAAAACGACTAGAAATGTGTAGCAGCAGAAAGTAAGAACTCCCAAGAAAGAGTGAAAGCAAGGATACCAAGCATTCTCCTTCCCAGATCTCTGTTTCCTGCTGCTCCCGCCTCTCAGGGAAATGTCTCAGAGAGCTGATAGGGGACTCAGGGAGCATTCAACCAGTCTGACATGCTCGGAGATTCAGCTGCAATCGACGTCGTATTGACTCGCATTCCGATTGTTGCAGGTCAGCAGTCGGCATCAGAGGGAACCTGCAACGGACTTGCTGACACGAGCCGGAAATAATGGCAGTGTTCGCCAGCACCTTTGACATTGGAAGAAAATGGAAGGCATCGGGCTGGCAACGGCATCAGGAAGCGGGGCCGGAACCCTCCAAAAAGGTTTGGGCGAAATGCCACCCGCGAACTTGTCAGCCCCGACATGGGAAACTTCACAACCGCATATGGAACCCCACACCCCACCTTCCCCCCAAATGGGACGAAAATTTGGCGCCACTGACCTGTGCCTGACCGGGCGCCAGACCCTACTGTACCAGGGTAAAAAACGGGAGAAAAAAACCCCATCTGTACTAGTTCTGGACTAGAGCAGCCCGTGGTGTATTCGAGAGAGTGGAAAATTGGGTGTAAACGAGGGCCTATTCGTGACTCCGGTGGCTGTGGTAGTGTTTACCCTTTGGCAGCCAATTACATCGCCAAACCACGGCAGTCCACGGGATGGCATGAGACGGGACGTTTGCCTGGGGAGGAAGTCACATCCCCATTTCCGAATGCCATGTTTCCATCCGAAAATCGAGAAAAATGAGGGCGTTCGCCAGGCACCAAAGATTGCTTTAGGTTCGGACGACATCCTAGCTTCGGCTCGAATTTTACGGGCTGACCAGGCTGACGGAGCTTAACGAACCCTAACTGACAGGATCAGGAAGGCGCGACTGGCCTTCCTGATCCCGTCGTTTTCGTTTTCAAAAGTGCTGGCGAACACCGCCGGGTCCAAATTGAGGTCGCTCAGTTGACAAGATCTGGTGACGTCGTCGCAAAGTACGCGTGCACAAATCTCCATTATAGCCGTGCGGTCGCATTAATACACATGCCCAGGCCTGCTACAAACAATAACTTGTGTTTTCAAATATAATACCATACTGCATCATGAGAGCAAACTAAACCAAGTAGGGATCCTACCCCCTTCCACATATCAAACAGATCACGCGGCAACATTAACATCACTGCTGGGCTGTACCAGAGAGGCACACATGCTCCGATACGCACACGCGAGGCATGGTGGTAGGTAGCCAACTGTACACATACTGTACACAAACTGCACAACGCCTAGCCAACGGAAACATTTACCTACATCCAGGGTCTGCCTGTGCAGATGTACATGCCCCTTGAAACACTCATCCTTGAAAATTGAGGAAACGTCCATGATCGCATACACCGAAACGTTCCTTCAGACGGAACACGCACGGTACATACACAGAAATGAGAGCACCTTGAACAGCCAAACCATGATCATGCAACACTCTAGCGCACTGCAACATCCCTGCTGTGCTTATGCAGGGGCACACGCACCCTGAAGCACTCAAATTCCTTGTCCTTGGAGTAGAGGCAATGCCCACGGCGACAGCCCAGGCGGGAGCAGAGGCGGGGACAGGCCGATATGTACAGGCAGTCGTTAGGCTTGTCGACTGTAATGGAGAGGCCATTAAAGAGTACGCACTCGCTAATGACATCAGCAGCAGCCAGCTTCTCCATGATCATGATGGACTGTTGGAAAAAAGAGAAGGTAGAGAGCAGGAAAGGCAAGGATTTGTGGAATGGGATCAGTATGCAGGAATTCCAAAACCTGCTGATGACATCAGCGGCAGCCAGCTTCTCCATGATCATGATGGCCTGTGGTGGAAAAAGAGAGTGAGCACGAAGTGGAGGATGAGAGGAACAGGAAGAGGGAAAGAGGAAGAGAGGAGTAAAAGGGGGGGATGCGTGTTAAGATATTACAGGAAGTCCAAACTCTCTCATGACATCAGCTGCAGCAGCCTGTCTTTTCATGACAAACATGGCATGTTGGGAGAGAAGTGGAAACCGGGTATTTATAGACAAAAGGATACATGTGCAGTGCAGTCAGCTAGTGCTATCTTCACCATCATAACGGCCTGTTTGTGAGGGAGAAAAAAAGTGTAAGAAGTCCCAGCAGGGCATTATATTGTTGGGAAGGGTGCAACAGCAACTAAAAAGTTGAAGGAAAAGAACATTACCTTAATCTCCGCAGCAAAGGGGGCGAGCTTGGGGTCGTGCAGCAGCAGGTTGAGCAGCAGCTGGTCGTCCAAGCACGCCTTGGCCTTGGCGAGCGGCACCAGGAACGTGTGGTTCCGCAGGCTGATCTCTGAAAACAGCAGCGGCGGCTCTTGCTGCGAATCCACAAACACCCCCACGCACACCTCGCCCAGCTTCTCCGACTGCACGCACTTATGCCACACCAGCTCTGCGTCTTCTAGGGCTTTCTTTCTCGCTTCTTCGGCGCTATCGAGGTCGTTTTCTTCGTCGGAGGCTTCGTCAGCGGCGGATTCAGCGGCGTGTGCAGCCACGTCGGTCGCGGCGTCCGTGGCGGCGCTCGCCATGTCAGAAGCTGCGACCGCCGCGACGGCATCAGCGGCTTCTGCGCTGGAGCCTGCACCTGCCACGTCAGCGATACCGTCCAAAGCCTCGGTCCCCAGGACCATCGCTCCTGCGCCAGTGACAGCTGGCACAGCCGCTGCTGCAGCTACAACTGCAGCATCTGCTGCTGTTTCGGCTGCTGCTTCAGCAGCTGTTGTGCCTGTTAGTTCACTGCTTGCTGCTGCTGCCGTCGCTTCTACTGCTTCTGCATCCTCGTCCGCGATAGCGCGTGCTTCGTTCGCCGCCTTAACCGCGTCTGAAGCCAGCTCGCCTAAAATGTCTTTCTGACTACCAACAGTACTGGCTCCGGCAGTCGGTTTAGGTTTCGGATTAGCCGAGATCTGCTTTGGTGGGAGCGTTGCTTGAGGATTTGCCGGCTGCTGCACCGCTGCCTGCTGTTCCATCTGAACGAGCGACCTGCAGCAGGCGCATCGAAATAGACCGCATGGAAAGGGGTGAATGCTAGTTACTCGTGAGCAAGGAGAATGATCGAGGGCGTTCGGAATCTATCAGGCGCTGCGGTGCTGCGGCTTCATTGATATGAACGTGTGGGCGCGTCAGGTTGGAGCGCAAAGAAATGGCCATATTGCAATATCTACCGAGAAGATGAGGCATGCCGGGAAAAAATTAACGAATTATTGGGAACAAGAAGTGGTCAAACGAAAGGCCAACGGCAGTTCGCCTCATAACACGAGAAATTGCGACGGTGAGATCTAATAAACGCATGTCATTCCCAGTAAAATCACAATGGTTACAAATCATATGATAGAAAACAGAAGCGGAGGGTCTTTTAGGGTGGCAGCTCACGCAATGCACATTCTTGATGACCAAGCCTACTGGGACGTACCGAACAGCGAACGAACGGGGGGCGCAAAGCATGATGGTGACGAGAACGAGGAGGATAGAAGAACGGCGCGCCATGGCTGGAAACGCTGGCAAAACCTGGGATTAAATATTCCCTGGCAAAGGGAATCAGCGAGATAACGGAACTGAAAGCTTGACTTGATCTGGCATTTGCCTGCAAGCCATTTTCGCCCTTGTGTTTTCGAGGGTGTGGCTTGAGAATTTCGTTTGAATGCGTTGAATGCGGCTGAGAACGTTATTCTGCGATACAAAGCATTTTCTAAGAGGAACAAGCGGAGGGAGACGACGAAACCTTTGGGGCAAGCAAGCATTCAGCACGAAGTGGCTGGGAGAAGGGAAAGGGGAGGTGCAGTTTGTCCCCCAGATGCTGGGGTTGAGTACGGTGGTGTGCACTCTAGAACTGATAAGTACGTGTCACCGTTTGTAAGCGTGACTCACCGTTTTGAACCGTGATACATGAACAATGAATGTACAGATTGTGACCATCGAGTGTGTGTGGACCATACCTGACGTGGAATCTTGGGCGCTCTACGTAGCTCCATGCCAGATCCTCGTCCACGTGGGTCAACCGAACCTGCTTCGGTATTTCTAGCGATCGGGCTTTGGGGAAATGCTTGTTCAGTGGGGCTCAATGAAGTTCTTTACGCTGCGCAACGGTCAATGGTGTATCTACAGTGGTTAAGTAGGGTACTTAACAAAAGTAGACTTTCTCGTCACTTCGTCAGGGGACACCCAGCGACAACTATAAATGCTCCCTTGGTATGGTGTCAGGGAAGGGAAAGCAGGCTGCACAAGACATCCCGCATCACCTAGATTATTGGTCTTTATTTTCCCTTCAGTAACAAGCTCCGCTATTCTGGTTGCTCCCTCCTCTTCCTGTTCCTTCGGAGCTTTAGCCAGCGCAAATCTCGTTTTAGTGCTCGACGCAGCGTTCTGTTTCTGCATTCCGCATGCTATAGTTTCTATCAATGTCTGGTCCGCTCCTATCGTTGCCGGCGTGGACCCATCATCGACACTACGTCGAAGCTTGATTGCGATGCCTGTCGACGCTCTCTCTCAGTAGTAAATACGCAAAAGTGGTTCCATTTTTCCACGACCAGCCTAAGGCGCTGCAAATATTAACTTCACGAGAAACGGTGCCTTGTGGGTACATTAAGTGAGGGTAACCGCACGCGATCGTACAGTAATCGCGTTGCTCAATAAGGGATCGCTAGCGCCATAAAAGTCCGGATTCACACAGTACGTCGCTACGTATCCGCATTGGACCAGAAGCGACCACCACACGACAATGTCGAAACAATCTCACGACGTTCTCGACACAGCCGTCGCGTTCCTCCAAAAGCGGGACGGCACCGACAAGGTCCTCAAAATCTGCCGGTACTCCGTCAAGCTCCTCCTCGCCGTCGCATTAAAACCGCACGCCGGTCAAACAGCCGGCTCCGGCTCCGAGTCTGAAACCGTGCGACGGCTCAAGAGCTTCGAGTCGAGCGTGGGAGCGAGCCGGAAGGCCCTGCGGGTGGGGAAGTTTCTGCAAGACGTGGACGCGCTGAGGAAGGCTCCGCCGTTCAGCAGCGTGGAGGGGTTTCTGGAGCTCGTCGCGAGTGGCGGCGAGGGGGTGTACTACTTTGTGGAGCAGCTCGTATGGCTGGTAGGTGGAACAGTGTCTTACATTTGTTTTGACGGGTCTTATAACGAGTTTATTAGCTCGTGGCGAGCGGCGGCTATGGGGTGTGCTATTTCGTGGAGCAGCTCGTGTGGCTGGTCAGTAGAATGCTCTGTGTGTGCTTACTCCGTGCATGCACATGGGACATTGCACATTGCACTTTGCACATTGTGTCTTGCACATTGCGCTTGTACATTGTTTATCTCTTGCTATAGAACAGTGAACGCACGAATGTTAAGGTAAGGAAGCCAAAACGGGTGAGTGAATAAGTATTCTCTTTGTTGATTGTGTCCCCCATTCGCTTGGCAGGTCAAGACCGGCGCCTTACACAAAAAGCATTCGAGGCAGCTTGAGAAGATCAGCGCATGGGCAGAGTTCATAGGGTATTTCGGAAGTGTAACCCTGACATCCATGGAGATAACGACCCTCTTGCACAAAGAACGGTCAGTTTCACTCCAGATAAAAAACCAGCCAATCCCATTCTCCAATGGTGGATCCTGCCAATCGCCTGACCAAGCTGGTAGTAGCAGCAGCAGCAGCGTGGATATTTCGTCATCAGAGGAAGCTGCAATGAAGGTTCTCAAGGCGCTTCGATTCAAGCGGCTATTAAAGACATTGGCTCTGATCCAGGACCTATCAGACGCTCTCCTCTCTCTGCATGACATTCTAGAAGATTCCGATGGGAACAGCCCCCTAGGGAATCCCGCGCTTCTGGCTGCTTGTGGGTTGCTTTCCGCACTGATATCCACGCACAAGACATGGGTGTCTGCATCAGGGTGACCTTGATGTGCCTCTTTTTCTAGTCGACTGGAAAAATGGGCTGCTGTCTGCGTTGATATCCACGCACAAGACATGGGTGACTGCATCAGGGTGACCTTGATGTGCCTGCTATCAGCTGCTGATAATCAGCATCAGTGAGTCTGACTGGTGACTGGTCTCAACTCTCAAGTCATCTCATCTCACCTGAATTCATTCCATGTCATGCATGTATGTACTGTCTCCTACAGAGTATAGTAAGCAATGTACACTGTACACTGTTCACAACACAGCCTGCACAGCACAGCTCCTCTGCCATTATATACACATGAACAAGAACGCGTGTCAGCACCAGGCAAGGCAAGCCTTGTGCTGGTAGTGGTACCGTAGGAGATCCAAGTTCAGGAACTCGATGCCAGCACAAAGCCAGCAGCTGTCTTACTCAACCCCATCTGTATGTATAGCACTGACTGAGGTGTAAATTACCATCAGAGAGGGCTGTTTGCGGGTTGCTCTCTGGATCCATTTATTGTAAGATTTGACCAACATATGACGTTGTCCATTACAGTGAAACAAACATGATTTATTACGCAACACCTACCACATTACAGCATCAATGTACCGTACCGTTGTATCCTATACACACAACGCAACCCAATCCAAAGCAAACCTGAGGCGGATCCAACGCACATCCATATTAACTCTGTCCAGCTGCTAATGGCAAGTTACACGCCCTAAGGAGAACCAGAAAAGGAAATGCGGTCGAACGGAAGAGGCTTGGAAGACGCGGGTTCAATGACCTCACTGCACTGCCCCCTCTGCCTCCACCTCTTCTCACCTCTTTCCACCTCTTTCTACCCTCCCAGATCCAAACCCTGTAAAACTTCTTCCTTAACCTTCTTTCCACTTGCTTTCCACCCTCCCTGCGCACGTCCCAACTTCGTCCCACCTCCTACAACCACTTCCCACCTCTACCAACTCTTCCCTCCCTCTTCCCACCCTCTCCCACCATCCCCAACCCTCTCCCAGCCTCTCCCAATTCACTCCCGCCGTGGGTTCACGAGGCGAGAAAGGTGAACCTTGCTATGCTACCCTTGCCTTTAGTCCATCGAGAAGACCACCTCCTTCCAGGGAGAGCCGCAAGCCTTCCCAACTTCCCCTCCTCGGGCTCTGCCACGGCACCCGTCCTTCATCCCATTCCCTCCGGCACGGGTTCACGAGGTGAGTGAGGTGAACCCAGCTACCCTTGTTTGCTTGCTTGCACATGTCTCTGACCGCCAGTCTCCCTTGCCTGCCCTCCAGTGACCCAGTCAAATCCAGGTTCCCCCCTTAGTGTAACACCCATCTTCACTTGCTTGCACCCCAGTCTGCCTGCAAGTCTCCCTTTCTTCCCTTCCAGTGACCTTTTGAGAATTCTAAGAAGCAACATCAACACAGTGATCCGGCCACCAGGCAGCCCCACGCCCCCCCCCCTCCTCGTGAGCACACCCTGACTTGCTTCTACACTGGCAACCTCTGCTCTGGCTCTGTCAGACACCCTCCTCTCCCCCCCAACGGCCCGGCCCAGTTTCTGTCCTCTGAAGTGCTTGTTTTCTTGCTTGAACCCATCTATTCATACCTCTCACCCATCATCACCCATCCTTCCTCTGCTGCTGTCAAAGGGAACTGTACTGGCTGTCAGCTTCTGTGACGGAGTGTGGCTGTTGATGGGGCAGAAGAGGAGGAAGAACCCTTGGACCACCTGGGATGGAGGGAGGCAGATGGTACAAGCATAGGAGGGAGGGGCGGAGATGAGGGAAAGAGAAGGAAATCATAGGAGTGAGAGGGACGGGAAGGGAAAGAGACATAATGAGAGACGCGAATTGGGATCCAAGGGACGAGAGGACAGAGTGAGGGGCTTTGTCGGAGGGAGGTGGGTGGTACGAAGATGGACGGTATGGAGAGAGATAGGCGGTATGGAGATCGGATGAAGGAAAGAGTTGAAATGGGGAAGAAGCAGACATACCAAGAAGTGAGGTGGTACGTGAGGGAGGAGAGGAGAGGATGGCATGGGGAAGGGAGGTGGGTGGTACGGAGAAGGGAGGTGGGTGGTACGGAGAAGAAGGAAAGGTTGGGAGCCGGAGGGAAGCAGACGCACCGAGAGGTGAGGCGGGATTTGAGGGACGAGAGGATGGCATGGGAGGGAGGTGGGTGGTAGCACAGAGATGGGGAAGGCGGAACGTGTTGAAGTGGGAGGGAGGAGGGAAGCAGACGTACCGAGAGGTGAGGCGGGATTTGAGGGAGGAGAGGATGGCATGGGGCTGACATCCCCGGGGGAAAGGCGGAACGCGATCGTCGATAGAGCTGAGAGGGAGGACGGGGATGAGGGACCGGAGGGGAAGGAGAGAAAGTGAGAACCGGGAGGATGGGAAGGAGGGAACGCTTGCAAGAGGAGAGCATGGCATGGCATGGCATGGCTGGTAGCCCCGGGGGGAAGGCGGAATGCGATCACCCACAGAGCTGATAGGGAGGATGGGGAGGGGGAGGAAAAGGAGCAGGAGGAGCAGCAGGAGGAGCAGCAGCAGGAGCAGCAGCAGGAGCAGCAGCAGCAGGAGCAGCAGGAGCAGGAGCAGCAGCAGCAGGAGCAGCAGCAGCAGGAGCAGCAGGAGCAGCAGCAGGAGCAGCAGCAGCAGGAGCAGCAGGAGCAGCAGCAGCAGCAGCAGGAGCAGCAGCAGCAGCAGGAGCAGCAGCAGCAGGAGCAGCAGCAGGAGCAGCAGCAGCAGCAGCAGGAGCAGCAGGAGCAGCAGCAGCAAGTCTAGAAGGAGCATCACAACACCATCATCTGCTGTCACATACCTGGAAGGGAGCAGCAGCATCCGCCAGGTTATTCCCCTTGCCCAGCAGCTGTGCCCGCAGCAACGCCACCACCACTAGTAGCAGCAGAAGCAGCAGCAGCAGCAAATATAAACAGCATCAACTGCCACATACCTGGAAGTAGCAGGGGCTGTAGCAGCAGGGGCTGTAGCAGCAGGGGCTGTAGCAGCACCCGTAGCAAGGGGCGCAACAGGCGCTTCCCGAACAAAAGAAGGTGGAGCAGGGGTCGTAGCAGAGGTTGTAGCAGTGGCAGTGGCAGTGGGAGCAGCAGGGGTTGTAGCAGGGGCTGTGGCAGCGGTTGTAGCAGCTTCTTCACCAATAAAAGGAGGTGGACCCATAACCATGCTCCCAATCGCAGTGCCACCACCGGCACCAACATCAGGGGCTGTAGCAGCCGGGGCTGTAGCAGCCTCTTCCCCGATAAAAGGAGGTGCACTTGTAACAATGCTCCCAATCGCAGTGGTGCCATCACCACCACATACGTCAGCCGTTGTAGCAGCAGGGGCTATAGTAGCAGTGTCAGTAGCAGCAGTGGCTGTAGCAGCTTCTTCCCCGATAAAAGGAGGTGCCAACCCAGCAGCAGTAGCCGCAACGATGATGGCACTGCCTCCACATGCGCTGTCAGTTGCAGAAGCATCAGCTGCAGCAGCATCGGCTGTAATAGCTGCTTCCCCAATGAAAGGAGGTGCCGCCAATCCAGCTGCCCTCACACTTTGACCACCCACTCCTGTCACAATCGCACCACCCCCCACTCCTTGAAATCTCCCCCCAACCGTTTCCTGCTCCTCCGAACCTGCCAGCACCAGCTTAAGCCCTTCCTTTCCTTCACCACCGAACCTAGAGGAGGAGGCTCGGGAAGTTGATCCGAGGCTAGACGAGGCTTGGGGATTGAAGCCGAGCCTGTCATCTGATGCAGCAGGGAGAGCGGCAGCAGCACCTGTAGCAACAGCGGCACCTGTAGCAGCGGCAGCACCTGTAGCATCAGCAACACCTGTAGCCTCAACAGCGTCTGCAGCCTCCCCTTGCTGCTCCTGCTGAGCCTGCAGCTGCTGCTGCTGCCGATGCTGCTCCAGCAGCAGCCGCTGCTGCTCCTGCTGCTGCCTGGCCAGCAGGCAAGAGAGCGACGAACTCATAGGAGTCAAAGCAGCAGCAAGAGACGAGCTTTCTGATAGGGATGAGGCCGTATGAGCTACAGATGCTGCTGCTGCTGCTGCTGCTGATGCAGTGGAAGGGTGAGGAGGAGGAAGAGTGGGAGGAGGAGGAAGAGTGTGAGGAGGAGTAGATGCCAGGATAGACTCTGTATAAAGAACCCCGCTTCTGTTTTGAGTAGGGGTTTCTTCTCCTGTCTCAGAGCCAGAAGAATTCATAGGGAGCACTCCGTTCCAGCTAACAGTAGCTCCTAGAGGGGTATCCAAAGGGAGAGCACCTGCTGACAGGCTGAAGCCTCTGTTGTTTTCTCCTGAGGTAGAGGTCTCAGGTGGGTGGAAGGAGAGGGCGGAGGGCGGTCGTGGGCGCAAGGGCGAGAGGGAGAATGTGGGTGGGGAGCACGCTGCTTCTGCTGCGAGAACGGAAGGGTCCGCGCGATAACATGGGATAGGGGGAGAGGTGAAGGGACAGGCGGTAGTAGTAACAGCAGAGGTAGTAGCAGAGGTGGCATCAGAGAGTGTGGCAGCAGCGGCAGTGGCAGCAAGAGACGCAGCAGCGGAGGGTGATGAGGCTGATGGGGCAGATGCAGAGGCGGATGGAGAGGAGGAAGTGGCGAGTGCTGCTGAAAGAGAGGCAGAGGAGGAGGAGGAGGAGGAAGAAGAGGTGGTGATGTTGGTAGTGGTGGTGGCGGGGGTAGTAGAGGAGGAGGAAGGGGAGGCGGAGCGGGAGGAGCGGTGTCTGTGAGGGCTAAAGGAGAGAGCAAAGGAGCGGGGGGAGGAGCCGGAGAGACCACGAGAGGAAGAGGAAGAGGAGGAGGCGGTGGAGGTGGCGTGGCGGAGGGAGGAGAGGAGGGCGGAGGGCAGCCAGCGATCGACAGGCGAACCTGATGTGACTGTGGCCTGCAGGGGGGTGGGGAGGGGAGGGAAGAGGAAGGGAAAGAGGGAAGGAGAGGGAGTATGAGCATGGTTGGAGCGTGAGGAGCGGTGTCTGTGAGGGCTGAAGGAGAGAGCGAAGGAGCGGGGGGAGGAGCCGGAGAGACCACGAGAGGAAGAGGAAGAGGAGGAGGTGGCGTGGCGGAGGGAGGAGAGGAGGGCGGAGGGCAGCCAGCGATCGACAGGCGAGCCCGATGTTACAGTGGACTGCAGGGGGTTAAGGCGAGCCTGATGTGACTGTGGCCTGGAAGGGGGTATTAAGGGGTGTGGGGTTAGGGGATAGGAAGGGGGCGGAAGCGGGAGGAAAGGGTGGGCAGAGAGAGAGGGAGAGTGAGCATGGTTGTAAAAAGACAGGAGGAGAGGAGGGAGGAGGGGAGCCAACGATCGACAGGCGAGCACGATGTGACTGGGGCCTGCAAGGGGGGGGGAAGAAGGGGGGAACGGGAGGAGGGAAGGAAGCAGAGGACAGGGGTCATGAGTGTCAGAGCACTGGAGAAAGGGCAACCAGCATTGCACACGCCTGATGTGACCGTGGCCTGCAGGGGGGTGGGGAGGTGGGGGAGGGGGGGAGAGGAGAGGGAGAGTGAGAATGATTGGAACGGGAGGAGCAGTGACTGTAATGGCTGAGGGCGAGAGGTAAGGAGCGGGGAGGGAGGAGGGGGGGGGGCGGGGGAACCGGAGAGACCCTGACAGGAAGTCTGCTGTACACGTGCTTATTACCACTACATCATATCTCAACTTAAAAAGGAGAACGTAAGCCAGCCAAGTACCAGTATAATCTTGTCACCAGGGTCAAGATCTGACAAACGAACGAATTAGGGTCATCATCACAGGAAAAAAAAAAAAAAAAAAAAAAAAAAAAAAAAAAAACCTGACAGAAATCAATTACCGCGCTTCATCCAACTCAAAAGTGATTCCAAAAGGATGGACCTTGCCGATCAATGGTGCATGCAAGCAACTCGCTAAACAGAGGTTAGCACTTGCTGGTCAATGATCCATTGGTACATGCAACTCGTTTACTTAAATAGTTGTTTCCTTTACCTTCTGTTTAGTTCGTTTGTTTTTTCTATGATGGAAGAGAGTGGGGAGACTCTTGTCCCCATGGGCTGAGCCGCTCGCCTCGCCTGACCCCTCACGGCCACTCCCCTCACGGCCACTCCCCTCACGGCCACTCCCCTCACGGCCACTCCCCTCACGGCCACTCCCCTCACGGCCACTCCCCTCACGGCCACTCCCCTCACGGCCACTCCCCTCACTGCCACTCCTCTCACTGCCACTCCGCTCACTGCCATTCCCCTTGCTGCCATTCCCCTTGCTTGAAGCCCAACCAATCAATGTCACGCCTGCACACACCACCACAACATACCTGACTGCTGCTCTGCCGCTGCTCCCTCTGCTGCTGCCACTCGTTTTTCTTGAAGTCCAACCCCTTTGAATGTCACGCCTACCCACGCCTTCACACATACCTGACTGCTGCTCTGCCGCTGCTCCCTCTGCTCCCGCTGCTGCTGCTGGCGATGGCGCGAGGGAGCAGGAATAGAGGAGGGGGACGAGGACGACCCCCCTGTCCCCATGGGCTGAGCCCCCCGCCTCGCGTGCCCTCTCACGGCCACTCCCCTTGCTGCCACTCCCCGGCTTGCCACCCCCCGACCTGCCGCTCCCCGCACTGATACCACTGATGCGGCAATTGCAGCGGCTGCCGCTGCTGCTGCCGCCCGCTGCTCTGCTGCTTGGATTTCCTTCTCCCTGTAGCACGCCAGTAGCAGCTCCTGGCTGCATGCACGAGAACCGGGAGAGACAACAAGAAAGACACTGGCCATTAGAAAAGTCAGCAGCACCTTCAGCTCTTTCTCCCTGTAGCACGCCAGAAGCAGCTCCTGACTGGGTAGGTCAACGGAAGGGGATACACGCGTGACAGTGGCACAAGCGAAAAAGACGGGTTAGGGAGGGCTACAGACAGCCATCATGCTGCTCTGCTGCTTGGATTTCCTTCTCCCGGTAGCACGCCAGTAGCAGCTCCTGACTGGGAAGGCGAGGGGGAGTCGATACAGGCAACAGCGGCACAAGGGAACGAGGCGGGATAAGAAGCGCTGCAGCAACCTCCCTGCTCTGCTGCTTGGATTTCTTTCTCCCGGTAGCACGCCAGTAGCAGCTCCTGACTGCACGCAAAGAATCAAGAGGAAAGGCAATAAAGGGAGGAGGGAAAGCAATCAATAGGGGCCAGCTGGCGGCCAGTCACCAATGCACCCCTTCCTATTGATGTCCACCAATTCACCAATAGGCGTTGCTCGCTGAGCACCAAGGCGTTGCTCTGCTGCTTACAACCCCTTCTCCCTGCTTCACAGTCTTGATCCTATTGCTCAAGTGTTTACTACAGGTTTGCAGCAAACCTGCTCCGCGATGAATCTTGATCCTGCTTACAACCCCTTCTCCCTGTACCAGGCCAGCAGCAGCTCCTGTGTTTTGAGACGTCTCAAAACACTTTTATTATCACGTGGCTAGACGCATGAGAATCGTGAAAGACAATAGAGGAGAATGAGAGTAGTCCGTGGGAGTTTGACACAAATACATCCCAGCGGACTGCCGTTCTCCCTATCAAGTATCAAGTAGTCCGTCCGTGGGAGTTTGATACTTGACTTGACACGGACACAAACAAACCGACAGAAGCTCCTCCTGACGGGATGAATGAATGAGACGAGATTCACGAGTGGCAATTGGAACTGGGAAGGACGTGACGGATCGACTCAAGAGGGCTTCAGATACTGTCAGGAGCTATTCAGTTCAGCTTCCATGGCGCCATGCCAGCGTTTCATTTCAGCTACCATGGCGCCATGCCAGCGTTTCAGTTCAGCTTCCATGGCGCCATGCCAGCGTTTCATTTCAGGCAGGCTCAACTAGCATTGCATACAGCAAGCAGGCTTTATCTTGGCAGTGTAGCCATCCATCCAGTTACCACATTTGCAAATGCACCACGTTTCATCTTGCAGTACCACGTTTCATATTGCACTACCACGTTTCATCTTTCAGTACCCCATTTCATCTTGCACGTACCAGGTTTCATCTTGCAGTGCCAGCTTGCGCCAGCACATGGGGCACTCCTCTCGACGCTGGGCCCTGAAGAAAGGGGGAACACGGGGCGGAAACGGAGTGCACGCATGGGGGTGATGAAGGGAGGAGATTGAAGCGAGCAGACTTCTGAGTCAACTCAAAAGGCACATGGGGCACTCCTTTCGTCGTTTTTCCCTGGGGAATGGGGAGAAGGGGCGGAAATGGGGAGGAGGGACGGGCAATGGAGAGCACGGGGGAATGAGAACTGGGGGATTGGGTGCATGGGGGGAAATGGAGAGGGGAGCACAGGGCAATGGAGAGCAAAGGAGAACGGAACAATAGGGAATGGGGAATAGGGAATGACGGGCACGGGGGGCCTGAAAGCGTGGGATTAGGGAATGGAGGAGAATACGGAGGACAGGCGAACGGGCAGCACGGGGGAACGGGCAGCACGGGGGAACGGGCAGCACGGGGGAACGGGCAGCACGGGGGAATGGGCAGCATGGGGGAATGGGCAGCACGGGGGAATGGGCTGCACGGGGGAATGGGCAGCACGGGGGAATGGGCAGCACGGGGGAATGGGGAGCATGGGGGAATGGGGAGCACGGGGGAATGGGCAGCACGGGGGAATGGGGAGCATGGGGGAATGGGGAGCACGGTGTTATGGGAAATACAGGGGAATGGGGAGCACGGGGGAATGGGAACGGGAGCAGAGGGAAGTGGAGAGCAAAGAGGAACGAAACATAGGGAATGAGGAGCACGGGTGATTGGAGATGGAAAGCACAGGGGAAGGGAAAGCACAGGGGAGGGGAAAGCATGGGGGAATGTGGCGGACGTGGGAATGGGGAGCAAAAGAGAGTGGGGAGAACGGAGGGACAGGGAGCAGGGGGGGTGGGGAGCAGGGGGGAATTAAAGAGGATGGGGCGAAGAGGGAACGAGGGAAGGGAGCGAGAAGGAATGTGCAGAGGAGAGCAGGGGCGATAGGAGGAGTAAGAGGGGGAGTAAGAGGAGGAGTAAGAGGAGGAGTAAGAGGAGGAGTAAGAGGAGGAGTAAGAGGAGGAGTAAGAGGAGGAGTAAGAGGAGGAGGAGGTAGCGGGGGGGATGGGGGGTTAGGAGGAAGGGGAGGGAAGGGAGGAGAACCATGTAGATGCATGGTTAACGGCAACGATATGCTAGCTGAGAGAAAGACCGGCTCAGTCAGCGTGGTGCTTACCATTCAAGGACGCACTGGAAGTGGTACTGGTGGTTGCAGACTGTGAGGTGAGCTGTTGGTAACACACACACCCGCGATTGCATGCTGTGAGGTGGCTTCTGAGTCGACTCAAAATTCAACTTCCTAAGTCAGCGTGGTGCTTACCATTCAAGGACGCACTGGAAGTGGTACTCGTGGTTGCAGACTGTGAGCTGGTGAGAGCACACACATGGGGAAAGAGAGGGGCAACACACACAGAGAGAAAGAGAAGATGAGGGCCAATAGGCGACAGAAACATTCAAGGACGCACTGGAAGTGGTACTCGTGGTTGCAGACCGTGAGCTGGTAGGTAGGAGCACAGGTGGGATTAGGCACACACACACACGCACGCACGCATGCACGCACGCACGCACGCACGCACGCACGCACGCACGCACGCACGCACGCACGCATACACACACGCACGCACAGGCGAACGGGTGAAAGGGAGCGGGGTGATTGGTAATATGCACAGGCGAGACGAGGAACTGGAATTGGTGCTCGTGGTTGCAGACTGTGAGCTGGCAGCACACGGGGGGGGCACGCGTGGAAATCACATGCGTGGGGAGCACACGCAAGAGATCGAGAGGGAGGTGAGGGGAAATGCGCAGGAGGCGGTCAGAGGACGCACTGGAAGTGGTAGTCGTCGTGATGGCACACCGTGAGCTGGTGAGAGCATAGGAGCACACGGAGGGGAACACGTGAGAAGCACACGCAAGGGAAAGGGAGGGGGGTGAGGGGCAGTGTGCGAGAGGCGAGCAGAGGACGCACTGGAAGTGGTACTCGTGGTTGCACACTGTGAGCTGGTAGTTGCACCACACGTGGCAGTGGCCTTCCTTCCACACAGACAGAGACATGCCCACCCTGCCTTTTAAGTCGACTCAAAAGCCCCACCCTCCCCACCGTTTGATTCGGCACATTCGTGCTCGTGCTCACTCTCCTTACAACGCGTACAAGGTCCGAATCCAAACGGAATCCACCAACTGAGGAGACAGACGGACGAATGACGCGACGCAGGGTGACGCCAGGAAGGGAACTCTCAAAGAGCAATTTCCGCATGAGGAACTCACCTTTATTACATCAAATTCAGTCCACTCATGCCGATTCCGCATGCGATGCTCATCTTAGGGCGTGTTCACTCAACGCTGGCGGGACCAAGGTGGGGGGAAGGCGTCTCGGGGGGATGCTGCACAAACTGCGCTCCTCTGCGTCTTGGCGGCGCCCCATCCCTTTTCCGCGTGAATACTTAAAATTTGAGCCGGAGTGGGTAAGAACGTGGAGACCTCACTTCTAACTCAGGGCGTGTTCACTCACGGTGGCGGGGTCGGATTCAGTGAACGCGTCCAGGCAGATACTGCACGAGCCCTCCTCCGCGTCTGGGCGGCACTTCAATTCGTCCCCGCGTGCATAAGCACAAGTGATGCGGCGGAGAGTGTGGCGGCGGGAGGAACTCACCTCATGGATTTCTTAACTCAGAGCGTTCTTAACTCGGAGAGTTCTTAACTCAGAGCGTGTTCACTCACGGTGGCGGGGTCGGATTCGGTGAATGCGTCGAGGCAGATGCTGCACGAGTCCTCCTCCGCGTCTTGCACTCCCGCCGCCACCAGCGCTGCTGCCGACACCAGCCGAACGACCGCTTCGCTCGCAGCGGACTCGCTAGGAGCGGACTCGCTAGCGGCAGATTCGCTAATAGTTGTTGACTCGCCGAAAGTACACTCGTTCATATTAGGTTCGTCAGGAGCATGATCGGTCCTAACATCAGTTTCGACACCGTTATTAGCGCCAATGGTTTCGCTTGCGCCGTCAGCGGCACCATTGCCGCTGGCGTCGGCGCGACTACTCGTGCTGCAATTACCAGGATGTTCGCGAATGTCGCTGCTATCGCTACCGCGGTTACTATCGCTGGAGATACCATCACTACCGGAGCTGTTACACTCGATCCCATCCGAACTACCAGACGGAACGCACCGCAAAACGCTATTCTCTCCCGCCTCTCCTTTGTCAACGTTCTTTCTGCCCGAACCTAACTCGCCATCCGTCGTCGTTACACATTCTCCCGTCGTAACGTCCGCGGTGGTAACCCCACACGTGGCCTCGCCAGCGACAACTGTCCCTTCTCTCCGGCCACTCCCGAGCGCGTCTCTCGACGAATCCGGGCCGTCCTTTAACGAATCTAGCTTTCCGTCGAGCGCCGTGACCGTAAGATCATCAACTCCTAAATTCGCGCCGCTATCGGCGGTTCTCCATGGCTCTGGAACCACTCTGCAGAAGGGAATCGCCATTATCGCAATAATCTCCAGCCGACTTGATAAATTTAGTGCTAGGTTCAGGACAGAACGACAGAACGGCAGTACACCATTATCACGATAAATTCCGCGTCGACTCTAACTACCACGTATAAAATATATTAGCGTTATATTCATCCAAACTAATCCCAGCAGTCCAAGCCATTCTTGTTGCGACGCCGCTGAACCGATGTCTCGACGTTTCGAATCCGCTGTGAATGCTAGTCTCTGTTAAGAGTATTGAGAGGCTTCAACGAAAGACTACGAGATAAGAAACGCGCGCCGCAAACAAGAATCTAGTCAGAGGGGTCGACTTACTGTCGTAGAACTTGGAGCAGGAGAAAAGGAGACTGGAGATATGAACTATGGCGGTCGCCGTTCCGTACAGACCACACAAACGCGTATGTATCTCCTTCAGCAAAGCGACGCTTTTTTCTCACACCTCGAGTTCATTGTAACGACGTCATGGAGAAACACCGTTTAAGATCGGTTGGGATGGATGATGTTGGGTCGTGCTGGTTCTGGGCTAGTTTGGAAAGCAAGGGCCAAGGTTGTGCAGCAAAAAGAAAGCTCGGTTGGGTGTGTCAGGACCTCGACACGCACAGCCCCATGTTAGGGCGTATTCAAGCATCCCTCACAACTTGGTATCTGCAATTGGAGCATGGACGCCTTGAGACTCTCCGGTAATTCAGGACTGGAAGTATGAAACGCGCTGTACCAATCGATGTTTTTTTGGCTGCAAACCGGTTCTGATTAACCCGCCCCTGGGGTTTGGCGGCAACAGCCACAGGAGAAGCCGCAGCAGCCGCAAGAGGCGTGGGCGCAGGCGCAGCCGCAAGGGCGGCTTTCTGGATTCTGCGCGTGCTGCTCTTTGCGGCGACGCGAGTCCCCCAAGAGAGCTGACGCATGATGTCAGCGGACAGGTTTCTCTACCAAAAGGGGGCGCTTCCGAGGCTGGGGGAAGAATTGGTGCAGAGAATTGCCTTGACTGGTAAACCCAGGGTGGCGCTCGTGCGCACCACACCAAATGGAGCGGGACCGAGAAACCCATAGAACCTCGCGTCACCGAATCATAACTCTATGTACCGTTTTAAAGTTGTCGTTCAGACGCGAAAGTGCCCCAATTTCAGACACTGCCCCATGGTTGTTATTGTACAATGGTACAGTAACAACCACCAACAACCACCACACGTTTGGGGACCTTCCACCCCGTCCATTGGTTGTCCTTGGTTGAGAACGCCCTCCCGTCTTTCACTTGCCCTTCTTGCTCTGCTGTGGAAGTTTTGACCCACTACAGCTGGCTTATTTACCCTTCTAATGACAATTGAACAAGCTTTTAACAAATCTTAACATACATCAATTATTCTGTATCAAAATATCAACATAGAATCAAATGGTTGGCTCCAAAAAAATCCAAGGCATGCCTATAACTTTGGCATGCTGACGCGAAAGGTACGGGTAATGCCTCAACATTTCAGCAATAGATTGTTGAACAAAATTTGTGCATGAGCAGTTGGGAAAACCCCCATGAAGGAGCATTTACACGCACAAGCTATCATGCAGCGGGGCAGACCAAGAGAGCTGCAATTACGGTAGTTAGTCTACTCCTCCCGCACATTACTGTGCGTTTGTGAATGTGAAAGTTCATCACATACAGAGGGACACTGGGTCTGGGATGATCAGATGTTCAGACAGTAGAAAGGGGGAGGGGAGGGAGGGGAAGAGGGCATATAGATATGAAACACCCTATTTGTAGCCCGCCTGAAAGGTAAATACAGTCAAGGTTGGCAGCAGGCTGATGCACAACACAACACACACATCCATGCTAGGTCTGCATTGCAGAAACAGGCGACGCTCAAAAGAGCACAGCCTAGAAATTACGGGTCAGAGTGCAGAGGTGTTAGATGGACCTCTGTCACCATCTAACAAGAAATCTAGCACTTGGCGAAACAACACTACCAGGCATTCGTACATGTATGGTAGGTCGGTTAGGCCTACCACTCGGACTACCTAACCTAGGTTAGGTAGTCCAGTCCGTGACGAGCAAAGGATGCGCTGAAGCTTATGCTATTTCATCTTCCGACCATGTGTGACAGCAAAGGTACAAGGCATGCTGCTTCGGACAGCAGGACATGTGTGAAGGTGCAGCAACAAGTACTACGGCAAGCAGCGAATACCAGTCCTGCACGCCGCATTGAAGCACTCGTACACCTCTATATGATCGTATCACCGAAACAACCTGCGAAAGAGTATAGAGGGAACATGAGGGCAGAGGACAGAGGAGAGACGAAGAGAGGGGAAAGAGAACCGGCAAACGATTCGCAGGGGGGGTGAGAGGAGAAAGGGGGGCGGGGGGGATAGGCAGTGTGAGGGCAGTGGATATACGGGATTAAAACAGGTGAATGGATTGAAACAGTGATGCCTGCAGCAAGCAACTTCTGAAAAAAATAGGAGGCAAGAATAACAGACAGAGGACAAACAGGGGGGGGCCTAAAAAGGGGGGGAAGACTAAAAATGAATGTTTCGGGAAAGTTTAGATCCACACACGTGTCCGATTGAAGAGGAGAACCCACATCAGAGGTGCAGCAGCTAGGTTAGGAGGAATGAGGGGCAGTGGGAATTATGTGGAAAAAGAGGAGAAAGGGCTTCAGAGGCTATGCCAACAAAACGACAGTGCTCTACAATCTGAAAAGGGAGGGAGTGTCGGGCGAACAAAACTCAGCATGCTTCACCCTGCTCCCACACTGAGCATGCTGCTGCTCATCAGAAGCCATACCTCGTTTCACCCTCATGCCTCACTGCACTCATCTCACACCATTCCTGACTGCATGACCCCTATGAACCACTGACGACCCATGAACCACTGACGACCCATGAACCACTGATGACCCATGAACCACTGATGACCCATGAACCACTGATGACCCCCCCGAAACACTGATGACCCCCATGAACCACTGATGACCCCCATGAACCACTGATGACCCCCATATGACCCCCATATGACCCTCATGACCCCCATGAAACTCATGAACCACTCATGACAACTCATAAACCCTTCATGACCCTGAAGCCATGCAGCTTATGCCTCGTGCGCTCGAGCAGGAGAGAAATGGACGAGGGCACGAGCGAGTGGGGATGGGGAGAAGAGAGGGAGCGACAGGCCTCTGCACTGCAGTGGCGGGTAGACGAGAGGGGAGAGGGGGGAAATACACCTGCAAACTAGGGGAAACAGGGAACGCAAGGGCAGCGGACAGTGGCGAGGGGGGAGCAGGGATCTAAACTTGGGAGCAAATAAACAGTGAATGTGACGGCAGCGGACAGAGACGGTCAGGAATGTTGGGAGAAAACGGGGTGGGATGGTTTCAGGAGAAGAGATTCAAAGGGACTGTTTTGAGAGAAAAAAAAAGAGCTGAGGGCGAGGGGTTGCTAAAAGAGATTTTGAGGAGCCTCTAAAGTGTTTTGAGGAGAGAGGCTTCAGAGGGACTGAGGGAAATGGGATGTTTGAAAGGAAGGAAGTGGGGTGAGGATAGGGAAAAAGGGGTGGGGGGGAGGAAACGAGGGTGGTCAGTGGGGCCGGATGGAGCGTGGGGAGAAGAAACGTGGGGGTTGACCAAGCAATGGGCCTGGCATGCGCTAGTGATGTGCACGGGTGACATGTCATCGCATGATACGATGGAAAACACGAAAGGATGTTGCTTTTTCTGAATCGGGTTTTGCGGGCGGAAAGAAGAAGGCAGATGGGGGATTGAGGGGGGCAGCAGAGGGAAGGATTAACAAGGTATGAGTTTGTATACCACAGGGAAGCTCCTCACATGACACAGGGAGCTACACTGGCAGTATGGAAACAAAAGCGGTGTATCCAGTTGGATCGGTGAACAACTTCAAAACCATGCCATTTGATGCGCATTCATTCGTTTCACATCACATGCGTTGTTTGGTCATGTCATTGCATGTCATCCCATCATGTGTCACGCTGTCACGTCCCATCATGCATCATCCAGTCATGCCCATCTCATACTCTGTCATGTCGACAGGTGTCATGCCATCACAAGCAATGCCCTTACGTGTTATGCTGTCACATGTCATGCCTTCACATATCACGATGACACTTATCATGCGGTCATGTGACATCTGTCATGCATCATCCCATCATGCATCATCCCATCATGCATCATCCCATCATGCATCATCCCATCATGCATCATCCCATCACGCATCATCCCCTATCATGTCATGCCGTGAAGTCGTCCTGCACTCTCCCACGGTCCATTCACAATCCCTCTCACGCACAGCATGCCATGCAGAGAATCGTGCCTGCAAGCAAGCTCCCTGCCTCGTTTTTCCACCTAACAAATCTCCAGAGTCTAGTGCTACCAGATTCTTCAGCTTTAGATGTTCCCGCTTTCACGAACCTGAATTTAACGAATTGTGTCTGC